ACGATGTCAAGGTGATGCTAAAAATGTAGGTTCATGATGAGGGAAATATTATCATGGGCAGAAAAGCAAAATTATGGAAATCATACTATAGAAGCAAGAGTGAAATTATACGAATGCCAACAGTTTTACCTTCCTTCCTAAATAACATGAAACATGGACTTAATGGAAGAAGTAAAAATGTTGGAGGATTTGCCAAAATGAGTGCCTGCACAAAATAATAATCACGCCAGAAAACGCAGAAAATGCATTGCATCGGCCCCCTAACCACCTACGACAGATGGCGCTCTCGTCATGGGAATCAATCTACGAGGTACGAAGGTGCACTGCATGCAGTTTGGCAGGTCGGCCTAGACTGGTACCGTCGACAGTTCCACACGCTACACTAACAAAGCGTCTGTTAGCGAAGGATACCATGCCGGAGTGAAAGGGCGAACGGTACCAGTCTAGCATCGCCGGCATTTCATTATTTACGAAAATAAACACAGTCGGTATAGAAACTGGTCAAGTCCCCAGTGACGGCCCATTCATGCCAATCAACGAAGAAGGCGGGCTTATTCTGATTACGGAGATGCGAAAATGCAACAAAAGTACGTAGCACCAGTGCGCCTAAACAGCGTGTTATTTTCGTTTTTGTGCCAAACCTCTATCGTAGGAAACCGTTCTAGCCTAGCAGAATGCCCTAGTTCCTGAGATCAGCAATTTTCGTTACTGTGATGGGTCCCCACCTATAAAAATTTATAAGGAAGGCTGTGGCGTAGGCTGTGATTGGAGGACACAAAGTGTGCAATCCTCGGCTCGCCTCGGCATGGCTCTCGCCTTGGCTCACAGATGGTGTCCTCAAGGCTGACAATCGGCTTGATAAGTGGTCGGTCAGTTAAGCCTAGGACACACTGTGCGATTTTCTACGCTGGCCGCTTGCGATCGATAAATACGGTGGCCGGGTCCGCGCGTGTGTCCGGTCTCACGGCCAGCCGTATTTCGCACGCGATCCCAATACGCGCCGCTGATCGCTCCGCGCATTCAACATGTTGGAATATTTCCGCACGGTTTTTCATCGCTTGCGTACCGTGCATGCGCTTGCATGCGCTTGCACCAGCGTGCCCAACAATGAATCATCGTGTTCGAACGCGATTGTTTTTAGCAGCCAATCAAGTGTAGCCAACGAAAGCTAGGAAAGCCGTTAGGAAGCCGTGAGTGGTTGGACACCGGTACAGTGTTCCAGCTGTACGCGCAACTCGTACGGCGTTCTAAATTCGTGAGCGAACATATACGCTGCCGGGCAGCGTACAGAATCGCTAGTGTGTCCTAGGCTTTACTACAGTGAGGGAAACATGGGATATGTCAGACTACCACCTGATTGACAGACAAGTGTGACAAACAACCAACCTAGCTACCCAAGACACTACCCACACGCGATACAATGCACAATTGCAAATCACAATAGGGATTTAACCACCTTACCAAAATCTTTCTTCACCAGATTGTGCATGACTCGACTGGTGTGAATAAACTCTATGGCACGCTAGAAAAATAGGGGGAAAACAGGTAAATACTATTCACCTTTCATAGTCAAACATGGCAGATAATCCTTTCTACTCCAGAATGCCAAAGTCACATAACAAAAGTTTGCTCAACACCAGACAACCATGCCTTGAAAGTTGTATGGCACGTGCTGATTAATAATATACATCGTGACCCAGTCATTCTCAAGTTGAAAAAAGGATATATTACTGATAGGCACAAGAAGAACAAAAATGTTCTTTAATAAAAAAGGAGAACATTTTAGGCACTAAACAACTTTTGTACAGCAACAACAACTGTACATAATGATACCAATACCTACCCTAACATCGTCGAACAGATAATCTGGGTCATAGCTGATGTCATTGCATATAAACAACTCAGTGATATCCGATAGCAGGCATGTCTCAACGAGAGAGTATTTGTCCAGCAGCTCTCGCATTTTCGACCCCTGAAATAACGACCGGTATTTCTCAAGGACACTATCACCTAAAAAATCCGTGTCATTCCATATATGCAATGGCTATGCGTAAACATAAAAACCGTTAAAAATCTCAATTTAGAGGAATATGCGCACACAGAATTGATAGATTTCTCTGTAAAACTTGCAACTGCACACTACAATTCGTGCCTGCATTCATACTAGTTTTGCATCCAGTTGCAGCTGCACTGCAGAACTTTGCAATGCATCCCAATTTGCACAGGCATGAAAAGGTTTGGGCATATTCAGCTTTCATTTAGCAAAAGAGGTGAATAAGAATGAGAAAGAAACTCATTGAGAAGTAACATCACCATCGATGCAATACTACCTACAGCATACACACAGTGCATACAAGTAATGTAACTGGTTGCAGCTAAGGGGCCAGAATGCCCAGCGTTCAACTTTAGGGGCTGCATCCAATGTTAACTGTTGTGGCATTTCTTGCCGTCAGACGTATTTATAGCCCCCAAACAGAGGGGATATTTTACTGCAGAGATAGACTGATGGCAGAAATTATCAATACACTTTGTTCCAGTTAAGAATGTGGTGGAAACAAGTGGTTCCTCTTCCTTGCCGAGAAAGTATTGTGGAGTATTACTAGAGTAGTCGATGTTAGATTAAAACTACAATGATAAAATAATGCATTCTAACTAAAACTATAGTAAAATTTTCCCATTTATGAAAACTTTGAATGTTAATTGAATCTTAATTATATCAACCTAGAACCCTCAAACTAGACATAATAGTATTAAATAAATTAAACACACTAAACCCCATCTTGCAATCTAGTTAACAGAGTGGGCGAATGATGACACTCAATTGTATGTACATGCAAATATCCAGACATCTATTCTAATTCATGATTGTCAGTATTGTTAATACGTGGATCCTGAGCGTAGGACCAGTACTTACGAGCGGGGAGGACAGAAACTCGACGTGTTTACAAGAACACTTTTATTCTGCCACTCATGACGTCACATCACTTACAAAGGCTTCTGGGTATTCGCGAGTGATATTACTACGCGCATCAACAAGTATGAACTTCTAGTATGTTTCACACACCCCTCTATATTCACTGTTGGCATTGGGTTAGAAGAACATATGCATGCCGGTACATGACTCACAAATAGTCTTCTAGCACCGACATGACCCTTATGCAGTCAGAATGATCTGATACAAACTATTCAGTCTGGGTATTTGAAAATGTAATGGGTTGCCATAGGACTATTTTCCAATGCCGAGCAGATTTGTATAGAAAAATGCTATCAAATCAACGATAGAAAGAATTTTAGTAAATCGCCCAGGACACTATGTGGACACTCAAGAGAATTAAAATCATTGCAAGGCTGACCCACTGTTAGAGTACCTGCGATGTGGTGAAGCCATACATGCTGCTGCCCAGATCAAGTGGCACATGTAGGCTGCCGTAGATCTTCCTTATCTCATCTTCTGACACGGGTCGGTGGCCACGGAACACAGTTCCTGTTTGAATCTTGTGAAATGCATCGATCTTCATGATGAGGCCCTTGAAAGGAATGTGAGAGAAATATTTGCACATGCACACATCAACCACACCTCACTTGCTTGCTATCAATCGTGCGCGCTTAGTTACAGCTTTACTTTACATGTTCACCGATGCTCATATTGTATAACTCAACATAATGCAATGCAACACAGTATAATACAATAAATAATATAATACAGTACAAGTTACATCAACACACACAAAAACATATTTTTGCAAGGAGAGAGATCATTATTAACTTTGGTGTGACAGGAATATTCTTTTATAAAAATAATTGACATGCTACTGATGCCTTTTCGAAATATTTACATATACTGGAAAAGTTCATCGGAATATTTAGTCTAAACTACAACATGAAACACACCTTGTGTATGTCGTAGTGCAATCCACGTATTGCATAGTTTGGATCATATTCAAGGTTGACTATATCAGTTGGGTACTGAAAATAATGAAACCACACACATTTAACACATTCAAACACAGTAAAAATTCCATTAACCATCAAGTTACAAATCGTGAAAACTGTTTCTATCGACAACTGTGAAATTTTATCAAACATTCCAGTTACGTATTATTACATTATGTGTCAGTAACATGTACATCATGTCATTTGCAACTGTATTTCAACCTATAAAAATCTCAACTAAACTATCATCCCACTTCAAAACATAATATTAGAACATATAACTTCACATGTGAAACCAATCTTACCTTCGAATGTTCTATAAGTATCTGGATGGCTAGCTTGTACATCAACTCGTGGAATGTGTTGTTGTAGAGGGCGAGTGTGAAGTCATAGTCAAATCCATAGACATCAATGTCAGCCAGACATAGTTCATTGTTGGCAAACACGGACTTCGGATTGATGTCAGGCAAAAGTGTCTCTGCTGCAACACAAGGCCCAAGCCCAGTTTAGCACCCCGGATTAGTTTAGAACATATATATATGCACAAACAGTTCAAAAACTACCGATACTGTTGAAAGTGAAACAGTCCAACAACGAAACTTTTTAAAAACCCCTAAATGGCAATAGCTTATTCCCCGAGTTTTGAAGCCAGTACAGGTAACAATAACAGGTAAACGATAACAGGTAACGATAACAGGTAACAATAACAGGTAACAGGTAACAGGTTGTACAGGTAACAATAACATGCCCATTTGTTTCGCACGATTTAATCAATTCATCTATACAATTTTAGCATAAGCCATATCTAACTTCTAAGCAGCGATTAGTGACTAGCAAGCAAGCGAGGTGTGGTTGACGTATGTTTGGCTAAGGAAGGTTTATTGTTAATATTAGTCTAATAGTAATACTAATAGTAATACTAGTAGCCTACTACTACTACTACTACTAGTAGCAGTGCTCGAAATAAGAAAAAAAATGTGGTTGTCCGCCAGGCATCAAATCGGGTTGTCCGCAACAATTTCTGGTTGTCCCAAAAAATATCCCCAAATCTCCTAATTTTCAATCACATAATAATATCATATGATCAGAAAACACCCAAAAACAGGGGCGTAGCCAGGATTTTTTAACAAGGGGGCCAAAAACAGTGAACTGCGCAAAATAGTGGATGACTTAATATTTTACTGGCTCCTCCGCCTCCCTCTCCACACCCTACGGCTCCTCTACCTCTCAGCTCTGCAATCTTTGTTTTGGGCGCCAGTGCAAAATGCGACATTTTTGTTCATTGTTCTCTGCTCCCAAGATATGTAATTGTTCAGTGGCGGGTCTAGGATTGAGGGCGGGGTGAAAAACAGGCGGGGTATGAGGGTCCTCCCCAGAAAATTTTGGAACTTGCTGGTTGGGTGGTTACGAAATCAAGTTCACCTCTCATTAAATCAGAAACCTGACATATATACCACGTGTTGGGAATAGCAGCTGGTCCCTATTTTATATTATTCACGATTTAATTTACGATTAAGATTTCTTGATGAGCTAGAAAACACTCGGATTTGAAGTTAAAAATGAACATTATTGTGGCAGCTAGCCTACACTAGTTGGTTGGGATTGATTGTCAGTTTCAGATGCAAAATATTGAAAGCAAAAGGTTATACACCATAGATTAATTGGTACTATAACACCGCGCATATAATATACGCGAGTCGGTTTAGATTTAGTGTTAGGGTTAGGGTTATGAGATAGGGTGACTGTTTGTACTTGTGTGTGGGACTTGCCGTACCCGTACCTAGCGAGACATTAGAATACGCGCTGCCGTACCCGTAGCCTCTGCGTATAAAACAACGTGTTAATACTGACGATTTGAACCTCTTGTGTATACACCAGCAATGGCAGCTATGATATTTAAGCTAGCAGCACACTTCACCATTTTCGTTGCTCGTACAGGCAATTTTCGTGGTCGGCATTTTTGTGGCCGTTGCGCGTCACAGCACACTTCACCACAAGTTGCCACCACGAGCAATTTTCTGCTGTGAGATCAAACCGGTTTTGATTCTCGGCAACTCGTGGTCACCACTAAATTTCCGTGGTGAGTGGTCGTTGCCGGCCCCCGCACACGTTGGCCATTTTTGTGGCGACCACGAAAATTGCCTGTACGAGCAACGAAAATGGTGAAGTGTGCTGCCCGCGCTTAAATGGCGGGTGGCATTAGGATGGCTGGGCTCCGGCGGCAGCCGCCGCCAAGGCTGCAAGTGCTCTTGGAGAAGCGCCTGCTAGGCTCTTGGAGCGCAATGCAGGCCGATTTCGATCAGCCGAAAGAAATTCAATTTTCGCGTCAGAATAAATTATAAGATAAATGTTGCGTTTTTTCGTCAACTTTTTTCTGGTTGTGCCAACGACAATGTCTCAAGGAGCTGGTTAAGGTTGTCTGGCGCAAATTCTGGGGTTGTTCGAGAAACCGGAACAAAGAACGCTTATTTCGGAGCACAAGGTGGTCAGTAATACTTGTAAGCAGTTAATACTAATAAACTAGTACCATGGAGTAATACTATAGGACAGATACTAGTAATAGTAATACTATACTACTACTACACGGCCGTAAGCCAGGGGGGGTGTTCGGGCGCCGCCGGTCGGCCCGGCGAGCAGAACCGCCCGCCCGAGAAACGCGCGAGACGCGCGCGGGCAGCAAGGGAGGGAGTAACGCAGAGGACCGGGGCGGCCAAGAACAGCGAAGGCGATGAGGTAAGAGAACGCGGGGGGCGCGGCGAAGGGGAAACGTGAGGAGGCCGTAGGGGCGATGCACACCGGGTTTGAAGCGACACCCCCCCCGAGCCCCCCCCCCAAGCAAAAAATATTTCTTCTTGAAATTTGCACAGAATTTTCACCTCAAGGCGCTACTCTATTATTAAGTGTATAATTGCAAATCTCCATGTGCAGGAGGTGAACAGTTGAACACCCCCCTCCAACACCCTCCTCCACTCGTTGCTTGGCCTCCCTCTCTGGGGGCTAGATTCTAATCAAGCTGCGTAACGAAAAATATTTTGCCGTAAAATCTTGTGTACCGCAAGTCGCAGTTAGCCTTAGTTGGCGATTCATCACACACAGCATTTAGTAAATTTGCGTACGATTTCGCGTACGCAAGCGAGGCCGCTTTTAGGTGCGCATTCATCAAGCTAAATTTACGTAACCTTTGCGTAACTCTACACGAGCTGTACGACGGTGCCGTAAACCACTCGAATTTCCGCGGTGCTTTCCAGCTACGCCGCATGCTTTTTTATCGAGCAAAACATTATACAAATTACTACGGTCAACTAAAAAAAAAATATTCCATATCTACACAGACAGCGGCGCGCCTTTGGACGTCTCTTTTGTCATAGCTTGGCATTGTTTTTCGTATAACGAGTTCGTAGTTGCCTGTTACGTGGCTACACGCCCGGCACGTTACGTGCACAACGCACCACGTTCGTACTGCACACGCCACGTACGTGTACGTGCACACTACGCACGTCATCGCACACCGTGCACAAGCACGCACGCCACGCACGTGTACGTGCACACGCACGCACGCCCGTGTACGTAACACCCACGCACGACGTGTACGTGCACACGAGCGTAGTGGTACGTCGGCACAGCACGCACAGCCTGTCGCAGCATGCAAACGCACCCACGCACGAGCACGCGCGCGCCAACTGTACGTACACACGCACGCGACGCACGGTGTACGTGCAACACGGCACGCACGCACGCGACGTATATCGTCACATGCACGCACGCACATCACTGTAGCCTGCAGCACGCACCGCACGCCAGATGTTATGTACACCCGCACGCAGCGACACAGGCACGCGCCGCACGCACGTGTACGTGTACACGCACAAGCATGCGCACGCGACGTGTAACGTGCACACGTACGCGCGCCCGTGTAACGTACACGTACCACGCCACGCATAGTGTACGTGCACACGGGCACGCACGTGTACGTGCACAACGCACGTACGTGTAGATGCACGACACACGCACCACAGTGCACATGCACGCACGCACGCACGCCCGTGTATTGACATGCACGCCGCGACGCCGCGTGTACGTCACACGCACCACGGCGCCCTGTGTACGTGCAAACGCACGCACGCAGCGACCGTGTACGTGCACACGCACGCACGCACTGTTACGTGCACACACATGCACGCACACTTGTACGTGCACACGCACGCACGCACGTGTGTACGTGTGCAGCACGCAGCACGCACGTGTACGTTACACGCACGACACACGCAGACGCACGCGACTCAACGCACGCACGGCACCACGCACGCACGCACGCACGCACGCAACGCACGCGTGTACGTACACAGCCACGCACCAGACGTGTACGTACACACGCACGGCACACCTGTGTACGTACATCAGCACTCACGCACGTTACCTGCACACACACACACGCACACGTGCACATGCACGCACGCACGCACCCCGTGTACGTGCACCAGCACACACGCACGCACGCGTGTACGTACACACGCACGCGACGCACGTGTACGTGTGGCTGCTTTCATGTAGTGTTGAACGCATCATACAAACGAAAATGAGGACACTATCACATCCCCCAGCACTCATGTAGAGACGAGACGACGCTAGACGAGCCATAATCGCCGTGATATGGTTTAAATACAAGAGATGCGTCTGTTCGGTTCCTATGGTATGTGTCGCCAGTGTGATTGGTTTATCCTAGGCACACCCCTCCACAGCCAGCAGCCACGATGGCGTAGTGGGTTTACACTGGAATTCATCAACATTTGCGTACGCAGGTGCTACGCTGCGTTGATGAATCGCACCTACGAGCTTTGCGTACGTACTTCGTAGATAACTCCGTGTACGCAATAGACTTTACGCAACGTTGATGTCCGGCCCTGGTCGCTTCGCGCGCCGAGAAGGGGCGTGTACAGGGGGGGTTCAGGGAGTCCGAACGCCCTCCTTGCTCGCGCAGAAGACGCATCTGAGTGGTCTAATTTTAAAATTTTATGGGGGAGTGCCCCCAGACCCCCCCTTCGCGTGCTCGCAACTTTGGTTACGGTTAGACCCCCCCACATGGTACAAATCTTGTACACAGCCGCTGCCGAGCAAATTGCCAACATTGAAAAACGAACCCCCCCCCCCAATATAAGTACGCGAAGTGTGACGTCACGTTGGCAACGACAACGCCACGGCTGGTTCTACACAAGCCACTGGCTCCATAAGGTTTATTGCGTGAAAATGTTGTGCGAACGTAAAACACGAGTGTGTGCGCTGCAGACAGCGGTAAAGCATCGGTAGCGAAGTCGATCTTCCAATATTTAATGATTTTAAAAAATTTAAATTTTTTTTTTTAAATTTTTTTGTTGTTCAATTATTTTTATTTTTTTTGGTTGCTTTTCACTTCCATCTTTCCTTTGGAAACTATGAAAAACTGCAATAATGACTCTCAGAATGATGGTTCAATCGGTACAAAACCCGACACGTAGTTAATGTTACAGAGCATATGATTGTGTAGAAGCAAGGCTCGTTGTCATGCCACCGTGACGTCATCACTTCGTACTCTATAAAGCTGGCTACGGGCCTGCTACTACTAGGCCTAGTCAAATAAATAGATAACATTAACAAATTAATGTGGTACGCAAAATGAAACTTGCCGTTAACTGCTGTCTTTGCCCTTTCATACGCCTGCCAGTATTCCAATCGCTGACTACCCGCAGTAAATGCAAGCCGTCTATTGACAGAAAACTTGCGAACATTCTTCTCCAATGATTGTAAATGGGCTTGAATTAGACGACCAACACTAACAGTAGCAGTTGATTTTGATACGTGTGTGGAGAAAGACACAGCCATGTTTCAGAGCCTTTTGCGATACGATGACCATTTTCACACGACAACTTGATATTCGCTGATACACTGCATTATAAATCGTTATTTTATTTTCACCGACATGTTAATAAAAGTTAAAAAGTTTCGCTTCGGTCTTCGTTTCGCAAAAAACTCTCTAAGGTGTCAACCACATAATCAAAAAGCAAGCACATTAATAATACATTCAGGCAGAGACTGAGGATTCGTACCAGGAGTCCAGGATTCGTAGATTGAGCCCTAGACTAGTACCCGGTCCCACCTCTCGGCTTAGGTACCCATCGAGTAATCGAAATGGGAGCGAGTACCAGTCTAATTAAGCCCATGAGCGAGAGCGCCATCTGTCGTGGAGTTTGCCACATAAGGGTGTCAACCACGCAACCACGTGATATAAGGTGATTACGTCACCAACGTGAACACGTCACTGATCTCTATAATATAATCAGGAGTAGATAATATCATAATAGGGACCCCTATTATCTACTAGGGACCCCCTATTAGGGACTCCCTATTATCTCTCCTGATATAATCGAGTTAATAATCGAATAATAATTATATTATAGAGATCAGTGGATCACGTCCATCGTGATCAATCCACGTGACCAACGTAATTACGTCACCAAGGTAATATACCTTTGGACCAAAGATCGCATGGGTGTATGCAGGGGGGGTCGTGAGGGTCGTACGACCCCCCCAAAATAATTTTTTTTAAAAGGTCCACATTTTTTCCAAAGACATTTTTTTTCGAGGGCCTTTTTACAATGACATAAATGAAAAAGATCAGGTACCAGCAATGAGTCCAAAGATGCTGTACGTAAATCTATCCCAATTCCAGCAATTCTGAAACTGAACCGTTTTTTTAAACAAAATTTTGTTTCATAAAAGAGAGACAAAGACTGACAAAGACAAAGACAAGACAAGATCAAGACAAGAAAAGATAAAGACAAAAAGTTCAAAAAACTCTGTTTTCAACTGACTCAGAAAACTTTTGTTTAAACTGATAAAAATTTTTTTTTAAAGGGACAGTAGCCTCTAGGATTTTACTGCATACAACTGTACTTACTGTATAACAAATCGTCTATACCCACATGTATTTGTCACCAGATACTTAATTAATTATTTACACATCAACGCTACGAAATTTGAACGACGCCATGTCACCCGCGACCGTGCTGCCACCCTGAAAAAGTTGCGTATTTTACACAAATGAGTGAGTAAGAAGAAGTCAGTTTTACTTGAGCAACCATCGATGTACATTATAGAAACGATTGCCATCTGTATATCGCAATAATAATTTATAAACCAAAATGAATCACAATTTGTGACCATAGATAGCACTATACCTGCTTTGTAGCGATGGCGTTTAAAATAAATAGGTTATGCTGCGTTCCGACATGTTTCGTTAAAACTTTACTTTTCTCTAATGTAGACGTTTTATCGGCAGGGTGGAGAGGAAATACCAATTTTGCATTAAAGATATTGTCAATCATCTTGTAAAACAAACCAGACGAGTGTGACACCACAGACTGTTTATGTCTATATAATATGCTATATAATTGCCAAACCATACCTAATTTGCATAATTTTTTTTTAAATATCAAAACCCCTAGCCCTTATTCATTCACATACCAAAAATGAGCAAAATCCGTTGAACCTGAACTGACAAATGGCAATTCCCATTTTTGCCAAAAAATTGCCGTGGCTTGAAAGTACGTCGACTGGAGTGCTTCAAAATAGGACGTTTAATATGGGAGCATAGCAGTAACAACTATACCCAATTTCAAACATGTGGGCCAAACGGTTCCTGAGTTATCATTGATCGTAGCAAAATGTTGAAGGACGGACGGACAAACAGACGGACGGACGGACGACGACCCATGGCAATAGCTCAGCTTGACGATGTCAAGGTGAGCTAACAAAACAAATACAATGGTTATAAAATTCACCAACAAAGAAAAGATAGAGAAGGATATATTAATAGGCAACCAAGTAATAAAAAAAATGCACCAAATATTCATACCTAGGGGATTTAATTAATGATATAGGAGGTTATAACGATATTATAAGAGTCCGAACTGAATGAAAGTGTCAATGACACTGTAGCTCACCACAAAAAAGGACACAAATGAGTGAGTAAGAAGAAGTCAGTTTTAATTGAGCAACCATCGACGTACATTATAGAAACGATTGCCATCTGTATATCGCAATAATAATTTATAAACCAAAATGAATCACAATTTGTGACCGTAGACGGCGCTATACCCGCTTTGTAGCGATGGCGTTTGAAATAAATAGGTTATGCTGCGTTCCGACATGTTTTGTAAAACTTTACTCTAATATAGACATTTTTATCCGGCAGGGTGGAGAGGAAATACAATTTTCATTAAAGCATATTGTCAATGAAATTCTTGGTGAAAATGAACCAGACGAGTGTGACACCACAGACTGTTTGTTTGCTCTCTATATAATATGCTATTATAATTGCCAAAACCTACCTAATTTGCACATTTTTTTTTTTAAATATCAAAAACCCTAGCCCTTATTCATTCACATTACCAAAAATGAGCAAAATTCCGTTGAACCTGAACTGGACAAATGCGGCAATTCCAATTTTTGCCAAAAAAATTGCCGTAGGCTTGAAAGTACTGTCGGACTGGCGTGCTTCGAACAATAGGACGTTTGACACACGTTGAACGCTGCAGTGGTTTAAACAATGCAACCTACCGCCCGCTGTTTGCTGAGGATTTCGCCGTCTTGTTCCCGCCGTTTAGTACTGATTACACAAAACTCGTTTATATTGGCACCAGGTATATGAACTAGCGGGATAATACATAATTCTCATCTCTCTACTCAATTGAGTGTAGTAGCAACTGTATTAATTGTGGATCACATAGTGATAGTGAGAAGGATATCTAAAACGGTTTACTCTTCAGACATCAAAACTATCAGTGATATTAATCACCTTGTTTTCAATCAAATCAATACAACTACTCATACATCAAAACAACTTTCAACAATCACTGGAGGTCTCTAAGGGCCCTCTGTGGCTCACGCACGCTGAACGAAGAGACATTACTACTCGCAGTCCAAAACTCCAAAAATAACGTTCGCCAAACACCAATACGTTTAAAAGTATTGTATAAATTATGTCATCTACTACTAGGGGTTTGTACAGTGACGCTGTTTGAATTTGTAAGCGTTACAGCCCATGCCACTCTATAGTGACAACATAGTAAACGTTCAAAATATTTTTTATTTTCATTAAATATTTCTTTAACTTTTGCACCGAGCTATATTTATGTGTTTCGGGCCTGCTTTTGCACGTTCGAATAGTTTACTCGATGAAATTTATTCGCCGCTAACGAACGTGTTAATATTGGGCACGTCCATAGCTCTATGTATATCATACTACCGCCGAATTGCAACCAGCATGTGGCGTCAAATCAGGTTCCTGAGTTAATCGTTGACGCCGCCTAGCGCACTATATATTCGTATGTTTACATAACCGTGAGCAGACCGCGACAGGACAGACGACCGGTGAACCTTGAAACGGCTGGAAACCTCTAGTATGGCCATTATTCATTCATCTTGCACAAACGATCGACC